GATGCTACAGATGTAGCACTCTGCTTCTCTCATGCAGCCAAACCCACTCCAGTCCAGTCAACAACTGCTGGCACTAACGTAGCGCTTAGCTAGCGGCGCGTAATACAGTCGCACTATTTAAGATGCTACAGATGTAGAACTATGCTTCTCTCATGTATCCAAACCCGCCCCACTCCAGTCAACAACTGTCAGCACTAATGTAGCACTAAGCTAGCACGCAACACAGCATTTACAAGAGGGACCTGTTCAAATGTCGAGGGGACGCATCCCCATCACATATAATTATTGCAACGCCCATGTCTGACTTAGGGCGTTTTCAGACCTGATAGTCCGGTAGACTCTGTTCATTTGGGGACCAATATTCAGAACATTTGTTTACACATTGGTGCCATTTGCATTCACACTGCACTGTCAATCGAGTCAATCTGTTCCCCCCCTCGCCTGTGGTGGCGCTGCACCAAGAACTACTGAAGGAAACGACAAAAAACTTCTGAAGAAGACACTTCTTCTTCTGGAAATAAAAACATAAACTGAGTGGCGTCAAATTTTAGCAGTTTTAGGAGTTCTATTTTGTCCTTTTTCAACAATGGACTCGGCATGAGCGGAAGATGAGGCAGAAGACAACGGAGAACGTTGTTTTTCACACAAGGCGGCTGACGGCTCCGTATGAGGTAAGAGAAATGTGTGTTTGCCGTGCGCTGTAGTCCACTTCCTGCTTTTCGAGCGGAGTTCACTTCAACCAAACAGAGACCTAGGTTTTTAGGCGGACTAGAGTTCCCTTTTTTGGTCCGCATCAGTTTGATTGCGCGCTCACAACTCCCCAAACGAACCGGACTTTCTAGACAAAAGTAGAGTTTGATTAAAGTGGACTAAACAGGGCTGGTGTGAATGCACCGTTAGAAATTTGTAGGTTTCTAACCCCAAACTCCAAATCCATTATAGCTGCCTTGTGCAAAATAAATGGGGGTAGTTGTCGTCGTAATCTGTTTATTTGCTCTTCTTTTAATTTGTTTTTAATAAATCAGTCCGACACACAGTACTCTAACAAGTTTAATGATGAAACATGTCGCTCAAGTGTTCGAATACATAAAATGTAGAGAAAAACATACATTGGTCATGTTAATCAGCCTGGTTACTGAGCACCAGTAGCAAATTCCTCCCATATTTAGGCCCCGTTCAAACCTTGCAACATCCGTCTTGTCCATCTAGCCAGCTGTGACAAAGCAGATGTGTCATTTCTGTTAAAAATAATTCATTCAGACATCTGAACTTTTAATATTTAGACATTTACACGACTCAGAGACATCTAAATCTCATATTTGTCATTATAGCTTAAAGCTGAATTACCTAACTGTGTGTCAGAGAAAAGACAAAAAACATTAACTTATAAAACTCCACAGAGCGATGTGTTTATTATACATATATTACAAAACTGGCATTGTTGTGTTTTCAGATTATTTCCAAGGTTGGTTGTTTAACATTTTCAAATAAGTCGTTTTAAATAAGTTAGTTTTTAACAAAAATGTCTGAACAGCCTCTTAGAGTTAGTTTAGTTTATTATTTATAGAATATGTAAAAAAAAAAAAAAACAGCATGAAGCATAATGTCAAAAACTTTTTGTTTTACATATTCAAGGGAGTGGGTAGAAGTATAAACTTATCAAAATTCCCACTCCTCAACCACTTACATAATCTTACATTTATTACTTGTATAATCCAAACATACAGTATAACAACTAAACCATATTTAACCCGTTAACTATAGTAGATGAACAATTATTATTCCTTTAACTTCACAAAAAACTAAACAAAAAAACAAAACAAAAGCATTGTTAACAAATTACAAAAAACCCAACAATAACTGAATAATAATATATATTATATCGAGAAATAATCCTATCTTTATATGGTCATTTGAACAGTTTTATGTTTGGACATTGTCTAAGTTCAATTTTCAAATTATTCCAAAGTTTGACTCCACTTACGATACAAAAAAGTTTTTTCTATTAGTTCTGAATTTGCATATTTTAAACTGTGATTCTCCCCTTAACTTGTAAATTTGCTCCTTGAAGTTGAAGCTAAAGGAATTAAACAGGAAGTTATATTGTTCCCAGGAGGGAGTTCAACCGTCTGAGGTAATTAGAACAAGCTTAAACTCAATTTTCTAGTTTATTACTCGCTTTAAAATTGATTATTTTTCTAAAACAGTGTGTGTTTCAGCTCTACCAACTAAACCGGTGTGTCCTGCACGCTGGCTTCATTTCTTTAACGACACAGCCCCGTTAATACAAGACAAGCACGATAACATGAATACAGCATGTTTCAGTAAATATCAGTAGTGGCGGTGAGAGAGATTATTGAGTAAACAACAGTTTTGCACTTTGAGCACCCCGCGGTGAACAAATAAAGTTTTGCACGCACGCACACGTGTCGTCTCTTTTTCCTGCTTCGGTGGAGAAAACACGCCTGACAGCATATTTTTGAAATGAAAAGGAACCGTGCAGTCCAGAAACATTACCAGACCAGGTTGCCGAGCTCTTTGCACCTTTTGCTGTTAATTTCTCACGAGCATCTCGTTTTAGATCTTGAAGCTCGTCAAGAATTCAAACGAACGCACAAATTAAGTAATAAAAGCAGCTGAAAAACAGCCGAGTGGATCATTAGAGGAAAATATGTGAAGTCAAAAGAGGCAACGCTGTGGTTAAGAGCACGTTACTCCTCAAGCTCATGTAGCTTTTTGTGTTGGTGTAATGCGCTACTGTCGAACAAAACTCACTCGTGCACAACGGAGGCGGCAAATTTCAGATGGAGACGACGTGCGGAGCTCGGAGAATGTGTCGAGGAGGACTCTCAGCTACCGCTACAACACACTTTAGCTCAACATGTGAAAATGACTGACTTAAAGCCATTTCTGTACATGTGGATCCCATCTTGAAGTGAGTTGACTCCAAAATTTAAATTGTGCTCCAACGGTTACTTTCTGGGAATTTATATTAATATTTAATATTAATTTAATTTAATGTAGTCAGACAAAAGTATAAAATTGATTACATCTATTTTAGTCACATATTTGAGGGTCTTATCCAAACAGGCCAAAGCAATGCGTGCTTGAACCGACAGCTTTAGAGCAGTCAGTAGATTGTGTGAGGGAAACAATGCTACTTATGTAGCTTTTTAGCTAGCTCGTCTGTATTGCACGCCGCTAGCTTAGTGCTTCATCAGTGCTGGCAGATGTCGGGGGGGGGGGGGGGGGGG